CCCCCCCCCCCCCTTTTTTTGCACTGCTCTCCTCCCTCCCCGACTCGCCTTCCCCTCCTCGCCCGCTCCTTTCTCTACGACGCGTGCACGTGATTGTTTAGAACCGGGGCGGGCGCTGCGAGGAAGCCTTCAATTACCCATTAGGACTGTCAAGACATAAAGCGGGCCCCGCTCTCACCAAAGTCTTGGTTATGATTCATTTACTTTGTGCCCCCTGATTCATCGGCCAATATGCCTCATGCTCCAGATTACTATTTGAAGGGTGGGAAAGATTGATGGCTCCGTGGGATCCGCCGCCGTATTTCACGGGCGCTCTGCTGCGGTGCGGTACGGTCGGTGGCCAAGTGTGAGATGACAGCGGCTTACACTAGATCAATGTGTGGACAGCCTTTCACAGATTATTAAAGCTCGGTTAGATTAAAAAAAAAAAAAAAAAAGAGGCCCGCTCTGTAGTTTAGCTGAAGTCAATATTCTACAGTAGATCAGAAAGGGGGAGGGTCCCTCGCAAAGGATCCCCGGCGCTGATGTAGGTCATCACGGCTGCTAATGGAATAACACTCTGTGACACGAGTGTCACAAGTAACTGTGTCATTTTTCCATCGCCACCCACGAAGCCGCTGCTTTTTTTTTTTTTCCCCCCCTTTTTCATGAAGCGATTTGACACCCCCGGAGGTTTTGTTGAAATTAGCCATTCTGAAATGACTTTTGTACTGTAAACGCTAACAGATTGCTCAATTACTGTCTTCCTGTCTGCGTAACCCCCCCCGACCCCCCCCTCTTGAAAACCGTGACCGCTTATAACGCTCCTCTCGCCTCTCGCGCAGCCCTCAACGAGCCCACCATCGACTATGGTTTCCAGAGGCTGCAGAAGGTCATCCCCAGACACCCCGGCGACCCCGAAAGGTTACCAAAGGTCAGTGAACTGTCTCGGAAAAACCCGCGGCTTGATGCGGCCAAGGCGAGAATTTCACAGAGCGACGTTAGCACCGACGCGCGGCGCTTTAAAAAGGAACAGCTTTGCCTCACATATGTGGCTTAGCCACTAGCCGGCGTGGTAATTGCATTGGTTTAGTGCGAGGAGAGAGGCGTAAACTCTCTGTGCGGTAAAATAGCTCAATCAGGCGTTTTCCTCTCCAGTAGTCTGTGGAGATGGTAATCTGGTCAGAAACGACGTCTGCGCCCTCATTACCCCGCTCATGTTTTCCTTTCATTTTCTGCGGCTCGATTTGGTTTAATCTTTTGTTTACAGAACCCTGTGCCGTAAACCCCCTCGTCTTACTGCCGCTAATAGACAAAGACCGCGTGTTATTATGCTGTGGCTTTCTTATTGTTTTCCCGTTTGAACCCAGGCGAAGCAGTTGAAAGCCAACGTCGCGTCTGAGATGCTCTTGCGTGGCACATAAACGGGCGGCGATATTGCCGCCGCTGCGCCGGAACAGGGAGATCATTCTCCCGCTGAGATGAAACTCTTTGATTCCGTTATACTTTTTGTTCGCCCCCCCCCCCCCCTCCCCGTTTTTGAGTCTCTGGCTCCTTCCACTTCCCATTGATAAAATCTCTCTCTGCGCTGTCACTAATTGCTACCATGCCGGTTGACATTTCGGTGACTGACGTTCCAGATGTGTCAAGCGTCATCATATGACTGATTAGCCCATTCAAAGTCGCGCAGTAAAGCGGTGGCCACCTTAAGAGTTTTAATAACACCGTAAAACCTTTCAAGACCTTATCTATTAAATCCCAGCATGCAACACGGCAATATCATTAACGTCCAACGGCCAATTTAATCTTAATAACACCGTAAAACCTTTCAAGACCTTATCTATTAAATCCCAGCATGCAACACTGCAATATCATTAACGTCCAACGGCCAATTTAATAAAGACCAGACTGAGCGGTCGCTTCAAGATGTTTGACCGAGGACATGCGGA